AAAGACTAATTCTTTTCCTGTTATTACATTTATGAAGTGTACATATATATTCAGACTGAGATTGATGGTGTGAATTTTTATTTTTTTACTGCTGAGTATATAAAGGTTGTTGGGAGTTACCCGAAGTGTTTTGGGCTACCCTAACGTTGTTGTTGTTCTTTTGGTTATAACCGCCGTTCTGCTGGTTATTACGACTATTGTTACCTCTGTTATTTCGATTATTGTTATTTCTTCTGTAGTTATTATCTGTAACTCTGTTCTGGTAATAGTTGTTTTGGCCGTTATCGCGATTGTCATAATTATAATAAATGCGACCATTGCACTTACCGCGATAACTATTTTTGTTATTATAATTACCACGGCCTCTCTGGGCATACAATACCGAATTGGATTTGTCTGTCATCTCAGTACTGCACTGAATGTACTTAGTGACGGCTTAGACGGATAGTTTTTAATTTTCCATGTTCGCAATTTTTAACCATTGCGTCAATGGCTTCCTTGGTACTTAACTTATCAGCATGTTCTGCTGGTAGACCTTCATCAATATACGAAGCCTCCAAAAGCCTTCGCAAATTGTCAATTTCAGTCGTGCATTTTTCGGCAGTTTTCTCTTTTTGCATTGTTTTAGACAATTTTGCTTTTACTACATCGGATGTTTCACCAATTATAGTATCTTGCAATTTCTTAATTATTGCATTAATTGTCGTTTCATCTTGGACTTTGTATAGTGTTAAACCAATAATTTTTGATTTTATGATTTCAACGGCTATTTCTTCGAATGTGCCTTTTGTCGAATTAACTAATTTTATCAAATTAACTAACTTCAAAGCTCTAACGAATCTTTGAATTGTATTCTTTGTCCATTGAATTCTGGAATGGCATCCGAAATGTCTTTTATATATGCCCTTTGGGCACTTATGTCCGTCATGATGTTTTCTTTGGATTCTTTTATGCTTGTATTAGAGATAATTTCTTCTTCCTGTCCTAATTCATTATCTTGATCCGATAATGTTATTAGTGCGGGAATTGTAAGATCGTTTAGATCTCTTTCTTTTATTTCAGTTTCAGATTCAGATTCAGAATCTTCATCTTTCACAGAATCTATCTCTATTGATTTTTTTTTTATCTGTGCCTATTTCTAGAGGGGTGTTCAAAATTGATCGTATGAATATATCTAATTAATACTTTTCTTTGACATTTATTAACTGCAAACGTAACTTGATCAATAGTTTTGAAATTTTTGACCAGTTCGTTTTATTTATTGTTTCCCTATTATCATGCACTAATATTCTAGCGTCGTTGAATGAATCGACGAGAATTTTTGCATGTTTGTTTAAAGCGTCTTGTCGTATCGCCCTATTTTGTCCTAAACATTAGTATGATTTACCAAATGTTTCTTTTATTTTACAGATATGGTGACTAAGTAGCTACCATTCCATACTTAATATTCATTACATATATATATGTTTGCAGTACATTTTTGTTTTGTTATGGTTTGTATGAAACTTTTATTATATTTATTTGCCCTAGTATTTAATTTTTCTTTACTTCAGAATGTACCCTGCAATTTCTTACATTACTTAGTAGTATTCAGTTTGGCGTGCTTGTACAGTGCGAAAGTGGGGAAATATCTAAGCTGTACCTTTCCATATATTCATATTCTAAATTGTATCTTCGAAATCTGGTTCCCTTTCAAGTGGAATGCGTATGCAATTTTCTGTATTCATTTCTTTATTTATTTTTTTTTAAATATACTTTTGTTAAAGTTGTCTGTGGGCATATTATATCAGATCTTGTATAGATCACTTACTTATCTTAGTGCTCTTTTCGTTACACATTTATTGTGTAAACGGTATGCCTTATATACAATATATGTACACAATATTAAGACAATTATTAATAATAGTATATTTGTAAATTTTTGATCAGTACTAGATGATTCGATTTTATTTATACCATTCGCAGTGCAGTCCACTGATTTTGTTTCGATTAACCCCATTGTGGGTATAATTGATATATCATCAAATTTACTTAGGCTATGAATGCATTTTGGATTGTATTTGCTATATAAATACCATGCTGTATTTCCTGGTTTGGAATAAACACACTGTCTTCTACTGAGGCTATTTCTATTTTTCGGACTTCTTGTGATCTTGCTGGCAGAATTATGGAGTTGTTGCCAGAACTGTGTGTTATTGAAACATAAATGGTATATTTAAAATTATTTGGTCTAATTATTAGCCAGTCTTCGGACGGTTTGAAATCTAATTGACAGTTGTATTTTCTTATGAAATCGATTCCTAGTATTCCATCACATGGAATAGCGAAATGTGAATTTACGACGTGAAAATCGTGTGGAATTATATATTTTGAAGTTTGAATTTCTATAGACGTAAGTCCTTTTGATTTGGTTACTTCTTGACTTATTCCCTGAATACTAATTATATTATTAGTTTGAATGAATATTGATGTCTGCCCCTGTGTCTATTTAGAAGACTAATTCTTTTCCTGTTGTTACATTTATGAAGTTAGCATATACATTCAGACTGAGATTGATGGTGTGAATTTTTATATTTTTTACTCCTGAGTATCTAAAGATTGTTGGGAGTTTCCCGAAGCGTTTTGGGCTACCCAAACGTTGTTGTTATTTTGGTTATAACCGCCGTTCTACTGGTTATTTCTTCTATAGTTACCTCTGTTATTTCGATTATTGTTATTTCCTCTGTAGTAATTATTTTGAGTTATTGTTCTGGAAATAGTTGTTTTGGCCGTTATTGCGATTGTTATAGTTATAATAACCGCGACCATTGCCCATACCCCGATAACTATTACGGTAATTACCACGGCCTCTCTGGGCATACAATACCGAATTGGGATTGCCTGTCATCTCAGTACTACACTGAATGTATTTAGTAACGGCTTCATTCATAGTTTTGAAATTTCCTGCCTCAAAGATAGTTTTTAATTTTCCATATTCGCAATTTTTAACCATTGCGTCAATGGCTTCCTTGGCTTCCTCAGCATGTTCTGCTGGTAGACCTTCATCAATATACGAAGCCTCCAAAAGCCTTCGCAAATTGCCAACTTCAGTCGTGAATTTTTCGGCAGTTTTCCCTTTTTGCATTGTTTTAGACAATTTTGCTTTTACTACATCGGATGTTTCACCAATTATAGTATCTTGCAATTGCTTAATTATTACATCAATTGTCGTTTCATCTTGGACTTTGTTTAGTGTTGAGCCAATAAATTTTGATTTATTGACTTCAACAGCTATTTCTTCGAATGTGCCTTTTGTCAAATTTACTAACTTCAAAGCTCTTACGAATCTTTGAAGATTTATTCTTTATCCATTGAATTCTGGAATGGCATTCGAAATGTCTTTTCTATATGCACTTTGATAACTTATGTCCGTCATGATGTTTTCATTATCTTGATCCGATAATGTTATTAGTGCGGGAATTGTAAGATCGTTTAGATCTCTTTCTTTTAATTCAGTTTCATATTCAGATTCAGAATCTTCATCTTCCACAGAATCTATCTCTATTGATTTTTGTTTTTTATCTGAGTCTAGTTCTAGAGGGGTGTTCAGAATTGATGGTATGAATATATCTAATTCATACTTTTCTTTGAAATTTATAAACTACAAACGTAACTTCATCAATAGTTTTGAAAATTTTGACCACTTCGTTTTATTTATGGTTTCCCTATTATCATGCACTAATATTCTAACGTCGTTGAATGAATCGAGAATTTTTGCACACTTTGTCTAGTTGAATCGCCCTATTTTGTCTTAAACATTTGTATGATTTACCAAATGTTTCTTTTATTTTACGGATATGGAGACTAAGTTGCTCCCATTCCATACTTAATATTCATTACTTATATATATATTTGCAGTACATTTTTGTTTTCTTATGCTTTGTATGAAACATTTATTATATTTATTTGCTCTAGTATTTCATTTTTCTCTACTTCAGAAAATACCCTGCAATTTTTACATTACTTAGTATTATTCCCTTTTGCGTGCTTGTATAGTGCGAAAGTGGGGAAAAATCCAAGCTGTACCTTTCCATAAATTCATATTTTAAATTGTATATTAGTATGGGGCTTACTTTGACTTGAATTATAGACACTACCCTATCTTCGAATTCTGGTTCCTTTTCAAGTAGACTGCGTATACATTTTTCTGTATTCATTTCTTTATTATATTTTTTATTTAAATATACTTTTGTTAAAATTGTCTGTGGGCATATTATATCAGATCTTGTCTAGATCAGTTTCTCTGCTTAGTGCTCTTTTCGTTACACATTTATTGTGTAAACGGTATGCCTTATATACAATATATGTACACAATATTAAGACAATTATTAATAATAGTATATTTGTAAATTTTTGATCAGTACTAGATGATTCGATTTTATTTATACCATTCGCAGTGCAGTCCACTGATTTTGTTTCGATTAACCCCATTGTGGGTATAATTGATATATCATCAAATTTACTTAGGCTATGAATGCATTTGGATTATTGTGTAAAAAGTATGCCTTATATACAATATATGCACACAATATTAAGACAATTATTAATAATAGTATATTTGTTAATCTTGGATCAGTACTAGATGATTTGATTTTATTTATTACATTCGCAGTGGAGTCCACAGATTTTGTTTCGATTAACCCCATTGTGGGTATAATTGATATATCATCAAATTTACTTATGCTATTATCGAACATACGTAGTATATGTTTTTTCTTGAATTGTTATTACGTCTATTTTCCCTATTCGATCATCGCAGTGATCTTCCTATCTATGTGTTGTACGGCTTTACGGGCCATACTACTATCGGGCAGAAAAGGTTCCGCTCGATTTTACAATATTTTACTTATATTTAAACATATATATTATATTAAAAATAAAATTTTTGTTCGCCTGCTGTATTTCCTTGCTGCATCAGCTGGTCGTCTTTCACACTTGTCGTCCTAGCTGCTGATGTGGTTCTTGTTTTCCCTCGTTGGCATAAAAGGCGGCCTGCCTGTCACGCTTGCTGATCCTTCCAGTTTTCTCCTGTGCACGTATGGGCGACGAGAGTCGCCGCGGAGGAGAGGATGTATTATGTTCATATACTTGACATAGTTTTAGCGCATGTATATATAAATGTTGTAACCAAAGTGCTACAAAGTATCTGTATTGATATTTATGCATTTCACTGAGTACAGTGAGAGTTCAATATATGAACACACTACACTACGACTACATGTCATGCAAAAGTAGTATTTATTATTTTCTAAAGGAAAGCTAGATGCGAGATATAAAATATCTGAAGCAACTTCTGCACTACACTTGCTTTGGATGACCTCACTTGAAATTTTGTCCACTTGATGTCGAAACCACAAAACTTTACAACTAATACAGACCTAATCAGGTCCCTGCTTTACCGTTTTGTTAAAAACGGATATCAGACCATCAAGACTACTATTAATAATTTGGGATCTGTTTCTAATTAAGGCTCGTTCTATCCTGTTTCTGGTCGCATTACGCCTATTCTCAGATATCCTATTTTCAATATCATTACGATATTGGCTAACTCGCTGTGTTAAACTTCTATTGGCGTCAAAAGTTCCCTGTCGTGCCTGAATGCGAGCACTTCGTCTTGCACTTGTGTTAAGTGCCTGCTCAATTATCCTACGAATAGGATCGTATCTAACCGGCGATCGTTAGTCCCTATCTCTTGCCCTTTGTAGCAGACGCCGTCCAATGTCATTTCTTCGTCGAGCACGTCGTGCAGTGTCTCGTCCCTGTTCGCCTGCCCTATGAACTGGGTCTTGTCTGCGTCTCGATCGACGCGAAGTGTCAGCCAATTGCTCCTGTTGTCTAATGGGAGAATTGGCTCGTCTTGTCACGTGGTCCTCAGTATTTTGTCTCCGTTCGGTTGCCCTATAAACTGGGTCTTATCTGCGTCTCGATCGGCGCAAAGTGTCAGCAAATTGCTCCTCTTGTCTAATGGGAGAATTGGCTCGTATTGTTGCGTGGTTCTCAGTATTTTGTCTCTGTTCGATTGCCCTATAAACTGGGTCTTGTATGCATATCGATCGGCGCAAAGTCTCAGCTAATTGCTCAACCTGTCTAGTCTGGGCACTTGTGCGTAAAGCTGCACGTAGAAGGGTATTTTGGCTTTGACCTAAACCTCTATTGATAGCGTTGTTCCTGTGAACTTCGTTTCTTTGTCTATTTCTATGTCGCTCACTTTCACTAAATTCTTCATTTTCCCTACGGTTGCGTTGAGACTCTAAATTATTAATTCTTTCCTGTTCAAAATATTCAGAATTTGACCTATTTAATATATTTCTATTCCGTTGCCTCTGAAACCTATTAGAAGCTGAAATTCTTTCTGTCCTAGGTCTGTTAATATTCAAAGATTAAATTAGTAAGTTAATATTTACTTTCTTAAAGTAATATAAGACATAAATTTATATCACATAAAAATATATATTAAATTATTTACATATTAAATAAATATAAATATAAATATAATATATAACTACTTATTTATTTATATATTAAACAAATATTAATAAATAATTATTTTTAATTTAATATATATAATTAAAACTATCTAAGTAAATAAAATAAATAAAAAGTCAAAGAATGAATTTAAAGTCTTGAAAAAGATTACAATAATTAATTTAAAGATTTGCAGTAATTAGTAAAAAATATATATTCTGTATATTAAGTTAATATTTACTTTCTTAAAGTAATAAGACATAAATTTATATTACATAAAAATAAATATTAAATTATTTATATATTAAATAAATACAAATACATAACTACTTATTTATTTATATATTAAACCAATATTAATAAATAATTATTTTTTATTTAATATATATAATTAAAAATATCTAAGTAAATAAAATAAATAAAATATCAAAATATGAATTTAAAGTCTTGAAAAAGACTACAATAATTAATTTAAAGATTTGCAGTTCGTGGTCCAGAGCACGTCCCTCACGATCCACGCATAAGTTTCCTCTCTAAATCAGAGCACTTCCAAAAAGTACATATGTACATACATGTATGTTTGTACATATGCCGATACAATACGCGCCTTGCAGACGGCATTGACACAAACACGTGTCCGATTAACGTCCAATTTCTACCGCGAATCGAACAATTTTGTTAATCGGCGCGAAGGACCTATTGAGTATTATATTTATTGTGAAAGAAAACGTTTCAGTCACATGAACACGTCTAGAAATTATTATTTTTCTCTAATTCTCACTCTCACACGCAACATGGAAATTAAACAGATATATCTGTATACACAACAAAAATGCGATATTTTGCAAAATATAATTCTTGTAATAATTATAATTTATTAATTTAATGAAGCATATGCATATATATAAGTAAATTTGGAAGTGTGCGTAAAGACATATATGTACATGTGTAAGTGTGTATGTGCTTATATACATATTAATATATTCAAGACAACGAAATAAAAAAAAACTGTACAATGGCAAATAAAAAACAAATCTTTGAATTGCAGCAATGTATTCAACTGTTAACAAACGTAATTATCGCAAGAGAAAGTGAAGGCAGAAATCCAATTACAATTCAAAGAAACTTCATCGAGATGAGATATTTACCTAGACGAGATATTTAGGATGGAACTTTACATGGATTCGTGTCTGTAGTGGATCAGATCATGGAGGAATACGATGACAACGACCAGGTCTTCACGGTCATATTTAACACCAAAATTCTATGCTTAACATTAATCCACCAGCAAACTTAACGGAGTGCAAAAATCGTTTGAGACATCACTATAGACAAAGAACGGATCAGATGGGACTAACTAGGAAGATTAATAACCTAAAAACAAACGTAAGAGAACTTAATAATAAAATAAGAACAATTGTTGAGGAAATTACTGATTTTTCGGTCTTCAAAAATAATAGCAGACTAGTTGATATTATAAGTGGATTATTAATTCAAAGAGTTAAAGAATTAGTATGTGGACCAATAAACATTTTTTCTCAGTGTAAAAATATAAAAAATTTTTAAATGTCCAAATAGAGCTTAAGAAATTTCAACTGAGGAAGAATTACATAAACAAATTTCAATTTACCATTCAAAAGATTCATTACACAGTGGTATAAGTGAAGCATTCAACTCACTAAAAGCAAAATATATTTTCCAAAATTAAGGAACCATATTCAATTAATAATAGCAAATTATAGAAAGTGCAAAGAAATTACGATAGAAACCGATAAAACCAAACTTTCAGTTTACAGAAACACCAGATACTAAAAACCAAATTAAAAATTTAGGTATATTTCCCATAAAACACAAATCTTTTGTCACAATCATAGGTAAACTTACAAAATTTGCAGTTGCTTATAATATTACGGATAGAAATTGGCGAACAAAGATGCAAATTATTATAGAACATTTTGCAAAATTTAACAAACCACGGAAAATAATAATGGATAATGAGTTTAGATCAGAGTATATAATACAGTTTTTAAACAATGAAAATATTGAAATTCATTATACAAAGCCCAACTGACATACAGGAAACGCTGATATTGAAAGATTACATTCTACATTAATTGAAATAATAATAGGAATAGATAATAATTAACTATCCATTGCATATAAAATTCAATTAGCAATAATATCTTACAATAACCGTTATCGTTCAACAATAAAATGTACACCACATTATGCTAAAACAAGTAAGAAAACTCTAGTCGAGAGTGCTCGACTAGAAAATACCCTGAATGTTTATCATTTTAAATAATAATACTGAATATATTTTATAATATTAAATAAAATACTTCTTTACATATAAATTTATAAATATTTACACTAAACTTCCCTATCCTGAATACTTAATGAAATATTACTGTTGTAACTATAAACTGTTTCAAAAGTCCTAGCGCTAATATATTCACTAGACAAATTGGAAAACACCCAACCAATGAGCGAATTACAATTGGTGTTAGAAGTTTTCAAATCTAAAATCTATAAAATCCTAGCCGATTCAAATCTGCTCAAACATAGATTAAAATCTCCTAAAAAAGGCAATCGCTGTTCAAAAATGGATACTACAGAAATAGCTCCCGAAATTCTGAAGTAAACAGTTGGACTGGATAAGACGGACTTTTGTAGAAAGTACAAAGCTTAACGATTTAACGATTTTAGTTCGTATTGCGTTAGGTACCATCTCGCATTCAAGACGGACAACAATAGTAAACCCTGGAATATTAACATTTTTGTTTGCGTATGTAGACGATTCAACGAAAATAGAACGGACAACTGCAGCATCAATCTGTCAAATCGAATGTCTTCAATATGACAGTTAATACTCTGAGTATTATGTAAAAAATAACTAAGATACAACTGTCAATTAAGTGATCATAATGTAATCATCATTTTTGGGAGGATTGGGAGGAATAAAATCTCCTATAATAAACCACCCCAAAGCTGTTGTTGCCCTACTACAAGCTAGGTATATTGCAGCACGGTGCATTCGACAGCAAGTGTGGACAACTGGAAACTGCTTGCGGTCAATGGATACTTGCTCATTTTTCCTATATTGGAAATTTCTAATGATTTTTTGAAACTGCAGCCAAATGGCAAGGAATATCGGATGATTAGGTATTCGGTAGCAAGCAAAGGCCAATATCTCACCACGTGAGAGGCGAGATGTTCTTTTCAACGAGACCCAAGATGACAAGGATTGATTTGTGCATATGTTGCCACCATCTAATGTTAACATGCAGCCTGGTAGCGGGAGTGATGACTCTGGCAGCGCTGGACGCAGCAGCGATCGGGACAGCAGTCATGGGCGCAGCAGCGAACGGGACAGCAGCGCTGGACGCAGCAGCGATGGAGATCGCAAAGACAAAGTAAGCAAGGACGCAATTGTGAAAGTTCCTCGCATTGGTCCTGATACGAACCGGCAAGCCAGGCCGATCTCGAAAGCAGCACAATGTACTTGGGGCTCTGGTTGCCAGCAACGTGAAGATTCCATCATCCTATGAGGAGGCGTTGAA